CATGTTTTCTTAGATATTAGATGATATACAGGGGGGGGGGCAAAAAAGTCACTTCGACCGAGTCACATATCAGCAAAGTTTTCGCTGCCCAGACAGAGGACGTGGATACGAGTACCAGGGAAGATACCCAAGATGTTCCTCGATAAGCAGGAGCTGGCTCTCGCCCATCACCTTCATGTACACCAAAATATGAAGTCATCTCCAGTCGCAGCCTGACTGGAGAACGCCTTTGGAATTCATGTCACCTCCAAACAGCTGCGAAACTTCTTGAATGGATAGCTACTTGGACTCAGTACCTCGAATCTGAAATGACCTCCAACATCGAGCAGCTCCGACAACGTCGCTACGGTCTAAGACATCACCTTCACCTCAGTCGCCAAGGCGCAGTTGATGGTGGGGACCGGAGTACCTGGAGTGGGTAGACCGATAGTTTTCTTCGCGGTCTCGTACTGAAGCGCGAGCGCTGTGGTTCCATCGATGCAACTTCGTGAAGTATACTCCTCTTCCCTGATCCCCGTTCGCCCGTACCTTCTTGGAAACTTTGTACTGCTACAGGATTGGGTGACACCACATGGAATCAAAGGGCGTTGGGAAAACTCTTGCCTACTTGGAATGGAAGGGCGTTGAGTACCTGAAGAAGGTGGAATATCTAAGCAGGTAACCTGACCTAAACCCCTCAATTACCTGGTTCGGGCGGAGTTCAATAGGGTGGTCTACAGTGGCGGAGAAATCAACGATCTCGCTGAACTCAGGCACCCACTCACGGTCGCGTGGCAGAATCTCTCGATGGCGCTCCTCCAGAAGGCTGTGGCGGAGTACGCAACCTGCGGATGGAGTCAAGTGAAATGAGCCCCGCGTTTTCTACCAACAGTACCCTGTTCAAGTAGACAACGACCAAAGGTAGATCGCGGGTGGGCTTACTACACGCCTTCTGATGTTTCCCTCACAAAAAACTGTCTTGGACAGTATTTTGCGAAAAAATGCTGCATGGGAAATACAGTTCCAGCATGGTCTGTAGAATTGCCGAGACAGAAATTCTTCGTTTTTTTAAACACCTCATTTCGAAGTGCAGTTGATAGCGCTGAAATGCAAGGAAGCGTGGAATGAGCCCTAGCCCAATGTCGCATTTTATATCACCGGCTATTTTCGATCTAAACTGGCCATTACTACTGGCAAACGGCTGCCGCGAGCGGGCCCAGTCCACGCCTCCTGCACCGCTCCGACGATACCAAGTATGAATACAGTTGCCAGAACTTCCTGGGGAGAATGCTCCTAAGTCCTACTACCAGTGAAAGTCCTACCCTGTTGATAGCAACGACAGAAAACCTACAAATCTCAATGGCTTCCCTTGACGAAACACAGACCCGTGTTTCAAAGTGTACATACAGCAGTCAAACGAGAACTAGATGGAATCTTTATTGACTGGCTTCACCCTTCCAGTCTTTTCAATCCATCACTTCTTCCCTTTCCAATCCAGTGTCATGATACAATCACTGATTTTTGTAAAAAAAATTTGTTTCAATGAAATCGTCTACTATGTACAGAACATTGTATTGCAATGATATCCATCGGAGTATGTAGTGGATGAGTCCGTAAGCTTGTGAGATCAGTGGTTAATGATCACCGTTGAGACAACAGTTCGTCAGTAAATGCGTTGTGTACTCGTCAGCATAGCTCAGATTCCATTGCGGCCTCGACGTTGCAGTACCTGAAAAAGGAGGAAGTACTAAAAGGTAGCTTGTCACGGTTATAGCAGTTTCCTCTACGCAGGATCTGGTCCATCAAATTGTTGAATGTATACTCGACGCAGACAGAAATGACAGTGGCATATTATCACCAGTCTTGCGGTTCCGAGGACGGGCCCGTCTGCCTCTCTCACTTCACTTGTTAGTAGCCAGTTAAAGTTACGCAAATTGCGGGAAACGGAAACTCAAATAGGCACAAAAAAGTGCTAAGTATCTGATTAGCGGAGAAAAGCAGCAGAAAAAGCAGTCCGATATGTTATAGAGAAAGATAACATAGTGGCTACTAGCTAGTAGCCAGCATCTGGTTGTAGGTCGGCATGGCCTAACAATCGTGTCCAGGCCCTAATTAGCAGCTTCTGCGGACGCTGGAATCTTGCGCGCTGTTCACATTTTGAAAGACTAGCGCCAGGCCTCAAAAATCGCCTTCCGTGATTGCATCCGGACCACATGTCTGAGAGGTCATACGCGCTTATTTTATCGCCGGAATGTGCCTTTAAGCCTACAATGGTGAAAAGCCTGACAGCTTTGCCGAAATAAGACTGGCGCTGCGCCAAACCCGATCCCCTTTACCCTCACATCAATTCGCCAGCGAAGACCGTATCCGAAACAGCTTCTCTGCCAAGAGAGAGCAGAACGAGAGAGAAGAGAGGAGAGAGAGAGAGACGAGGGGTAAATACTGCGAATGTCCTTTCTGCCCTCTCTTAAACTTGCCCACCGCAGTCGTTATTGACGGTCCAGTTATCCAGGTTCCAAGGGGGCAGCTCAATGTTTCTCAAGTGCGAATTCGCTACAATGCGATGTCGGGAACGTAACAGCCTTCACAAGCGAAATTGATCGAAGCCGATTGCACCGCTGAATGCAGGAAACCTATCGTGACAGCGACCATGGATGCCAAGTAAATGATAGCAAATTCTTCAACCCTCCCTTCTGAACCCTGCTTCCTTAACTGGATAGGAAAAGCCCAAGAGCCTAGCGATTGGTAAGCATCTCAGCGAATCTTTCTGCGCCATGGATACTCTATGAGGCTAGTTTTCTGCCTTATACCTTTCGTGAGAGCATCTACCGTCTTATGAACGGTTGAGATACGGTAACGGCGGTAGACGACAGGACCCTAGCTACACTACCGAGGTTCTCTTAGTTTTCGTAAAGGGTAGGACGACTTTCATGTTCAGAAGCGTTAGTCCAAAGAAGCAGAAACTACTTACATCGCTGAGCCGTAGTCGCCTGAACTGTCGGAAATGGAGGTTACCATTGCCGTCACGCAAGAAATTCGCTGATTTGTCTGATTTGAAGGTTTCATATCTGAAAATCAGCTGATTAAGGCTGTTGATCAAACGTAGATTTACAGCAATCCCAAAAAATACTCACTCGGCAATCTTCGGGTTTGGCGGATCAATACCGTACGGTACGGCCTTCGAGATAAACTGCATCAATTGCTGATTTTTGATTTCGGTATGTTTCTTCATTAAAGTTTCGAAGAGCTCTGCTAGAGGCTTCGCGTCGACAACTGGAAAAATTTCACATAGGTCCAAGAAGTAGAGAGTTTCAAATAAATTGCAAAAAATAGGTTTAAAAAAGAGTGCAAAAATAAGGGTTGGCCACCGTACCTGTAGTGAGTAGAAGAAACGTTAGAAACACATATACTGAGCAGACCATTTGTATCCGACACAATGAACTGTGTGTAGTTCCTGCCTGTCCCAGGCGTCTTTTATATTTTCGCTGACATTGTGATATATGACCGTCACAGGGTTGACGAAGCGGGGCGAGATCTTCGACCAATCGGTAGTGTAAGTGGGCGGAGACAGACAGGAACTACCCAATGAGGTCGACCGGGAGGCGGTGTCACTCGTTTGGTCTTTCAACGATCATTGACGTAGCAGTAACGGCGACGGAAATACCTAAGGTGTGATAGACCGATTGACGGATAGTTTTAATAGCGATGACAATCATCGGGTGATATTCTGGTCGCAACATACTCCTCCCTTCCTGACCACAACCCATCTCAACTGGAGTCAGGATAGGGTTTTATAGGAGTTTGTTCTGATTTTGAGGAAATGCTTTGAAAAGATTAGCGAACCACAGATCACTTTGTTCTACTAATTAGTTCTTCCCTTTCCGCGGCGTTTATAACCTTGACGGAGACATGTTTATCCCTTCCGTCCACGATCATGTCTCACACTGCAAATCCTGGAAATTCCTGTCACGCTTGACGAAATGATATTCCCATATCCTGGAGATGAGGTGGGCGTGGCCGCATATATTGGACATGACGCGGGTTGGGTCTTTGGTAGGATATTCCCTTCTGAGATAACTGCCATCTTGCTTTGCACTGTACAAACGCGTAGGCTACAATTAGCGAACTGTCTCAAAAACCCTTCGAAAACGCAACGGCCAGTACGTCGGAATGAACGGGCGCCACTAAGCCCACACTCTCATCTCCGCAGAAACGGAGCTGTACCGACGCTTCGTCGAAAGCCATTTCAGCGGTTTTTTTTTGCAAACGTCGGCCCAGTTCATTTGGACTTTTTGCAGCAGGTCCACGGGCTCACAGGTTCTAGACAGGGGAAATCTCGGCTTACAGCGGTATTGAAAAGGTTCGCTGGTATCCACATGATAAGTTTAACAGATTTTGTATGCTGCGGCGATCGCGTTACCATGTTTGCCCCTCCAAGATTATCAGCGCCTCTTCCGCTCATCCAGTGGAGAGCCATCGTTCAATTCCTACTTTTTTGAAAATCCGCCTGTGAAAGGTAAGGTGCCAGAGCCCTCGCTCTACCTCATGAGCCACCATGATAATCCACTAGCTTTGGACATTTGCCAGAATTCCTCGTGCAAGCGCGTCATCCAAGTAGCCTTGTCGTAATTTGAATTGATTCAGTCATCCCGGAGCTCCTTCCCCCACTCTCTCTCCCCTTTCGCTCCTTGTTTCCATTGCGGTATTCCTAGTTGTACAGAGAGGGCACTTTAGGAGTCCTCTGCAAGGTTAAGGGGCCTCCAACGCACTCAAATTCGGGAAAAAGTTCATTTCTTCGCTGTCCGCACTCACAAACGCCTTTGGGTGAAAGGCACATGCTCGCACGTCGCTGTGGTGTGCGTGATTCGGTTCTTCCTTTTTTCAAGAGGGTCAAAAAAGCGAGAATAGGGTCTCTCTGCTCCTTTGTCGTTTTTTAGAAGAAAGTTAATCAGCAAAAAAAGGTAATCAACAAAAAATCTTCAGGCTGACAAATTGTAAAGTACCGTAATTTTCGATCAAAGGTGAACTAGCCATTGCCACCATGGAGAGGAACTCGAGATTGTCGTTTGTTCCACTGGATTCAGCACCTATGCGCAAGCAAATCTGCTATCACGGCGTAACCTGAGCAGTCGATTAGTCACTTTTTGGGATGCGCCACGCGTTCTACTAGCATTGCCTTCAAGTGGTACATGTCCTACAAGACAAATCGATGCGTGTTCAGTGTTCTATCCTCCCAGATGTTATTGGCGTGAATTCGCAGCCCTTTGGGAATGAAAAACGGGTGGTTGTAATGAGACCGACAAGGGCTTTGACAACAAAGTTGCGCGCACAAAAGGGGTGCAACTTAGCATTACTCTCCATCTTCTCGCAACGTACAGTCTTGTTCGCTGCGGATGCCGGGGCGCTTAAGGGGGAATGGGACTGGTTTGGCGCGGCGCCAACCCGCTCTTGACCAGTTGTGGTCGCTTGCCAGCATTTTTTTGTTGGAGAACTTGTCGGCGACGCCCGCAACGAACAAGACTGTAATTCGTAAAATACAATATCTGAAAGCAATTCCAGTTCTGGGGGATTCAGGGATGGGGGCAACGGACCCCTTTGACTTCGTTAAGCACTTTCAACTTTTACTAGTTTTACCATAGCATAGAACTGGTTAAAAGTCGCATCCGCATCGACAAAGCATTACAAAAGAATATGCTAATGCCTTCCGTTCAATCTCATTTGTTGTGGAATAGTCCTTTAAAAAGCTAGTCAAGATTGAGGTATAAAATGGTGAAGCAACTATTCCACTATATGAACTCCAAAACGTTGTCTCGTTCACACCGGGTGGCTATTTTTATCTTGTGAAACCGGTTCCATTTCGTCGCAAGAACATCTGGAAGTTGATGTTCACGTGAACTTTTCAAGTATTAATCACCTTGATTTGACACCTACGAAATCACGTGTTCCCCTGTGATTTCATTCATCGACCGTTGATCGATGGAAATAGATCGCTCACTGAACTGTGATTAGCGACTTTGCCGAGGAGATCTCGTTTGTTTTCATGTTTTACGATAGTGTCCCGTGAAACATCAGCAGATGGCAGGTAAATAAAGTTTGAGAGCACTGTTTCAAAGGCATAAGGCGGCACGATATATTCGTATCTACTTGAAAATAGCAGCGGGAGTGCTATGCACTGGGAAAATGAAGAAAAAGTGAAGTTGAACGGCCGAAAACCCTGCGAAAAAGCTTTGTTCTGCACGGCACTGGACGAGCATTTTTGGACGAGCTTTCCTCGACATTGTGCCAGCAACGGTTTTGATCGATACGGCTGCACGTATGTATTCATATATCCATGTAGCAATGCCTCAATTGTACTTCATAAATGGAGCGATAAGAGTGTTACCAGTGACTGTGAGGTCCATTTGTGGGCGGGCTGTTGCGGTGGGCGTTCAGGTCGGCATGTTGCACCTTGGTTAGGCGTTATAATGCTGCCTCTCGTTGAAAAAGGCGCCACGCAGCGCTTGCTAATATTCTTTCGTGCTAGACAAATCGGTCCTGTACGCCTTGTCGTATCGTACCATTTTCCTTTAATGTGGGATGGCTTCCATCGCTTGGCTTACTCTTCTTCATGCTTTAAAAGTCATCAGTAGAGAACCCCATATCCCGTTGATCACCCACTTTGGATCCCTGCCATGTCTGATGTGAATGGGACCACAGCCGTGGGTCAAGCGGGCTTCTGCCATGTCTCAGAAGTGAGAGGAATGAGGCTGGAGGTGGAGCCTCACCTGCTAGCATATAGGCAGACACGTAACACGCCGCACTACCAGCATACGCCTACCCATGCCAATGGCGCTTTTCTGCTCAGCTCTCGTTTGATTAGGGAGCTGTAGCTTTCAACGCAGATCGCTACGCTTTGCCGTCCATGCTGTCCGCTGTGGGACTCCGGCATCGGCGCCCATTCTGCACGTTTCGAGGGAATCTTTCAAACGACATCCACCTTCACTACTTTCAGCCGCATTCCTAAGCCCCTTCAGGTGTTGAAAGTGCGACACTTCCACAGATCCGTTCACCTCGCACATGGCAGGGATCCAGTTCGCAAATATGTAAAGCCGGTGTTGGGGACACTGTGATCTATTACATGTAGGTATTTGATCTTGTGTTGTACTAGGTCTGCCTGGTTTGACTCGATCTTTTGACCAGGCAGAGGAGTATATATACGGGTTTTTCTATGTTGATATACTACTGTCTTCCAATAAATATTCTACTGCTGCTCATTCTCAAGGACACAACAACTGGCGATCAGGACAAGGACTTCGAGGACCACACCGCCGCCACAATGATGTCAGAAGAAGCGCCACTCAAGGATCTCGTGCAGATGATGGCCACCCAGCAGAAGCTCCTCATCGACCTGCTTCAGAAGATGTCATCGCCCACAACCACGCCGCAAGAATCCATCTTCGACCGAATGACAAGGAGGATCGACAAGTTCTCGTACGACGCCGATCAAGACGACTGCTTCAGCATGTGGTTCAGCAGGCACAAGGACATTTTCGAGGTCGACTGCCAGGGAATGGAAGAGAAGATGAGGACACGTCTCCTCGTCTCTGCACTGGACGCTGCAAGCCACACACGCTTCGTGCGCCACATCCTTCCCAAGGAGCCCGGAGACCTGAACTGGACGGAAACGCTCGATGCTCTAAAGACACTGTTCGGAACCAAGAAAAGTCTCTTCCGCCGTCGCTTTGAATGCTTCCGGATGAACTTCTCGCCGAACGAAGACATCGATACCTTCGTCAACTCGCTGAAGGCTCGCGCCATGGAAGCCCGTTTCAAGGAAATCAGGCAAGAGACTCTGGAATGCCTGGCTCTGGTTTTCGCCTTCCAAGCTCCAGAGCTCGCCGACTACCGCGTCCGCTTCCTGCGCAAGCTGGACGAAGACGACAAGACCACCATCGACGATTTGGCCAAGGAATACCATGCCTGGAAATCGGTCAAAGATGACTCCAGAATCGTCGAAACCGTCAGTTCACAAGAAATCCATGCTGTCCAGAAGAGGAGAAAGCACCGTCTGCCTCGCCCAACCAAATCATCACTGCCACCCTCACCGTGTCCAATCTGTCAGCAGCAACATTGGAAGAAGGACTGTCCAGAAAACCGCCACGCTACCAGTGCCACCCAGGAGTCAAGGACTGCGCCACGACGTCGCATCAAGCAGTCATCACCGCGCACCTGGTACCAACGCGTCATCGGCCGTCCAGGAGATGTCCAGAAAGTACCTGGAAGTTCACATCAACGGACATCCCACCCGCCTCCAGTTGGACACCGGCGCCGACGTCACCATCATTTCTCGTCCAACTTGGATGCAGCTCGGAAGCCCTCACCTACAGAAGACCTCCGACGTCTTCAAAGGAGCCAATGGATCCCCACTACCAATTCACGGAAG